TTCCTTTTTTAGACAGGTCAGGTCAGGTCAGGTCAAATGTATATTTAATTCAGGTCAATTTTATGTCTGACCCGACCCGACCTTATCAGGTCGGGTCAAGTCAATTACCCGACCTGACCCGACCTGTTCGGAGCTCTAATTTTCGATGATGCTCCTCATGCCAAATATCTTCCTAAATGTCAGAATCTCATTATTAATAATCTAGTCCAATCTTTTATGAAAACAATTTCAACAATACAAGGATTCATTGATTTCTTCTACTTAAAAAGAAACTTCAAATACAAATATTTTCATATAAACTAGCTCTGTATTTTTAATAATTTGAAAGGATATCAAGATTTAAACATAACCACATTCGATAATTCAAAGCAACATAGCCGAAGAATCAAATACTTAACTGAACAACTTCCTACAGTAGAATTTTTAAAATCTACACAAAAACACATTTATCATAATTCATAGAAATGTTATCGCTGTGCTATTGAAAATGAAACTTTTGATCATATTTGGTTATATTCTGCTAGCTTACCTATAATGATAGATATAACAGATTGTACTAAAAATTTTCTACTGCATCAACTTACTATACTGCATCTTACTCCTTCTTCTGTATTAATTCACTATCTAAATACTGATGAACTTTGGGCTATCGCCTCTAACAACAGTTCCTTAACCTTTATCGATCTAATTAAAGGCATTATTCCTTCGAGCCTTTTCAATATATTACAAACTCACAGAAAACCACTTTTAATATCCTTTTAAACACTACCATATACCTTTATAACTGAACTTATCACGATATTTGGCTCCCTAGATGTGAACTCATGATTGAAAAAGAAAAAGCTCTACACATCTCTGATAAACAAAAAAGAAAATACGACCGCTCTTCTACATTCACTTTCAATCGACACATTAATTCCTCATCTTTTTCCAACCAACCTATTTTTACAAATTGGATTGATTTAGTTAGACTTTCTATAATTCATGGCAGGGATTGGACACTCTTTTTGGATCAGTAATAGCTAGTTGTTTTCAATTTTTCTTTATTTTCAAACTTTTTCTTTTAACAGACGGTTATGATAGAACTTATGTTTATACATTTGTTTTTGAACTCGACAAGACAACCGGCTGGTTTGGAGGGACCTGGCCTTTTATAGGTTTTTTAATGTTTCTAGACAATAATTTTGTTTATGTTAAATCATATAGATAGTATTTTAGTCTTTTTACTTTGTATTATTTGATTTTTAATTTATTATTAATAAAATTATATTACCGCATCTAAAAAAAAAACTGATCTGATTTGAACGAATTTTAGCTAGTTAGAATTACAGCACTGAGGAGAATCGGAATTCAGTATCAGTTTTTGGGTAGTCGGCCTACTGAAAAATTTTTCTACACTTAAATTTCATTAAGTAAGAATTTTTGATGTAGATCGCTAAATTGCGCAAAATTGTTCTTAATAATCGTACTTCAAATTTTTAATGAATATTAGCTAGGTTTTGAGGTTTAAAACAAATACAAACCCATGTTTCTAGCATTTGTGGTTGGTGAGTTATAAGCTTTTAAAGGCAAGAAACTCTACTTGCGTTTCTTTTGTAAGCCACTGTATATAATTAATTATATATAAATAAATATAACAGATTTCTTTTTTAAAAAAATTCTTTTTCTAATTTAATAAAGTTAAAAGTTAAATATTTTTTACAAATTATTTAAAAAATATATTTAAAAGAATAATATATAAATTTTTCTAAAAAATCAAATTCAGAAAACTTTTTAACATTATTGATTTTTTCTCATATTTAATAAATAAAATATAAGTAATACATTTTATATATAAAGAAAAATAAAGTCAGAATGATGATCATTTAATAAAAAAAAAATTTTTTTTTTGATTGGTTAATTTTAGAGATATTTTTTGCATAAATAGCCCATCAAATAAATGTCATTTCAAAAAAAAAAAAATGGATCGCTCACGGGATGAACGAGGAAATCGACGAGATAGTAAATATTAAACCAAACTATTTACCTTATTTTTTTCATTCTATAAATTCGGCCAAACTCAAAATATTAATAACTTTAAATTTGCTTAGGTGGTGGTAAAAGAAGATATAGAGGCATGTTATTCCTTGAATACTTTACTTTCACTACCTTTGGTAATTAAATTACAAATTTTATCGATATATACAACTAATCTATATTTAATTACATTAGACGATGATCGCCGAGGTAGTGGTCGAGATAAAAGGAATCGAGATCGTGGAAGAAGCGGCTATATTGAAGTACAAGAACAACCTGTAGAAGATAGCCCCGAGAAAAGATTGACAACTCTTTTGATTATTTTGGGTGACAAGGTAACTTCATCGGTTTGGTGTAAGTCGAATATGTTTTAAGTATGATTTTGTTACTTGTTTTAAATTAATTAATATTTTAGAACTTTACTTTCCTAAATTTATTAGATGACACCAAAAGAAATAACTACAAATATCGAAAAGGTTGCCAGTATATTAAATAATGAATATTCGAAACTTGAAACTCACGTCTTGAAAACAATAAAAAATTGGTATTTATGTTACTTGTGATCGAATTAGTTTATGTTTAATTATTTTATATTTATAGTTATTTATATTCAGCTTCATGGAATTACCAATGAAGGCATATATTTATGGTACCCTTGTTGGTCTTGTGAATGTCACGCGTCCCGAAGTTGGGGTCAAGGTTGTGAAAATGACTGCTCAGACTTTACAACAATGTTTGAATGAAGGAAATTGGCGTGGTGCAAAATTATCTGTAAGATATTTCATTTGTTTGGAATTCAAATGTTAAACGTGATCTTTTTTTTTGATTTTCATTCGATAATAAATTAATCGCTATTTATTTCGGGAAAAGCTCAAATTTTTTGGAGAGTTGACAAATGCAAATGTTATATTACCCAGAACCATGTTAGATATTTATGACGAATTATTAACGGTTCTCGATGAACAAAAATTGAAGATATCTCGCGCAGACACAATTGTTTATATTGTTTTGGCTTCATTACCTTATGTAAGGATATACATATACAAGCATTATTTATTATGAAAAAATATTAATTAATTATAATTTCAGGTAGCAACTAGACTTCGAGAAAGGTGCCCTGATGCACTAGAAAACATGTTGGCGAAAACCGAACGATATTTCTATGCCAGAGAACGAACTATACTGGATATAGACGGATCAGTTGTTCGAAAATCTATTCAACCTTATGTTGGATCCAAAGTACCATATGAACAACATGATGTGAGAACTTTTCCTTTTGGTATTAGTTGAGACTTGTTGTCATATCAGTATTATAAAGTTATTTCAGATTTACTTTAATGAATTTATTATAACGATGTCAATCCAATCAAACACGTATACATATTGACTTATTCATTTCAGGGTTGAGTTGGGACGAGTTTGATTGGATCAACTTATTATTACATGTTCTTAATCATTTGTTTATTCCATGTTAAATTATATATCTTTTTTTTTTTCTTGAAGATGTTAGAACTTCTATGGACCCAAATTCAAAATTTGAAGCGGAATGATTGGGTGGTGAGTCTTATTTTAATTTTAATTTTTTTTTTTAAAAAAAAATTTATACAAGTATTTGTACTGATATATTCAATGATATATGATATTTAGTGTCCATGCCTTTTGAAACCTTGGTCGGATTATGACAGTGTACTCATAACTGCAGATCAAGTGCGTCATTTTTATCTTCAAAACTATTCATACAATATAAGGTCAATAATTAACATTCTATTTTAAAATAGCATGAAGTTGATAAATTTGTAGTACCAGAACAATTTGATGGAATGAATAATTCTCTTCCAACTACAATGTTCCGAATTTTCGTTGGTTTTGATGATGAGGTTTGTTCATTTCTTTTAAATCAAGTAATTAATCATAAATAATGATAAATTTTAAAATATTATTTAAACAAAGCCTACAATGAAACAACCTGATGTAACCGACATAACATACCTTGTAATTAATGATGTTATCGAAGATATTGTTGATGTTATGGAAGTAAATCGTAAAGAGTGTGTAAAATATCTCAAGGATCTTCCGTATTGTTTTGCACCAGAAACTTTTGTCGGTAAAGACACAACTATTGCTGCAGCGAAAACTGACATCAAAGAGGAACCAGAAACAAAAAGTGAAGCTGAAGAAGAATCATTTTCCAATAATTGGAATAATGATAATGAGAATAATGAGAATAATGAGAATATTGATAATGATAATAATAATAAATCAATAGATACATCTAGTTTGGATCCAAATCTTGCAAATTACCACCTCGAACAGATGATCGTTGAGGTAAGTTCAGGTTTTCAACATATAATCACTTCAATTTAATAAATTTGTAAAACGATACTGATTTGTTTTGTAATTTGTGACATTATTATAAAGTCTATATTCAAGAATATCTTTCAATTGCCACATCCAAAACATAAATTTATTTATTATCATTCACTTTTAACCGAAATTTGCAAGAGCATGCACGAAACCTTCCCGCCTGTGATATCCTTTATTAACAAAAAAAATTCATATCTAATTTAAATTTTTTTTATATTATTATTCTTTGACTTCTAAATTTTTTTTTTTACCTTGGTAAGGCAATAGGAATTTTATTCGATCGTGTTGATATCATGGATGTAGAATGTTGTTATCGATTCTGGAATTGGTTTAGTCATCATCTTAGTAATTTCAGTTTTATATGGAATTGGAAAGATTGGTAAGTCTAATAACTTTATTTTTGTTAACAATCATTTTACATGAATTTAAATATTCCTATTTGTTCAGGGAGAGTGCTTTAAAATTAGATCCTTTACACCCAAAAGTATGTTTCTTACGAGAAACGTTCCAAAAGATGGTACGCTATAGTTATTATGAAAGAATTAAATCTACTATTCCAGATGAATTTTCGGCGATTTTTCCAATAGAACCATCCACCAATTTTAAATATGAAGACTCCGGTAATATTAAAGTTCCAAATCTATCTTGGGTTGCCAAAAAAATTCTTTTTTTGTTTTTTAAAAAAAAATTCTCTCGTTTTATAGCTCATCCTTTACATAGTTTGGCTGAGACGTTATTAGGGAAAATTCGTAAGAGGGCTTCCATTGATGACGTACAAACATATTTCAAAGAGATGTTATCACCGGCATTGCCTGTAGAGGATAAAGAGCAAACTAAGCGCGATATATTTATTCAATGTGTGCTTATGCAAGGATGTAAGAGCTTCAGTCACGTGCTTAATGTTATTGAGAGGTAAATTATTCAATATTCATTTTTTAATTTGAGAATTAAAAAATCACTGTAATTAACTTATATAATAAATTGAAATAGATATTTATCGATTCTTCAATCTTTAAATGATACGGCTGAAAATAAAGTACATACAGTCAAAATTGTTGCAGAATTTTGGAAGAACAACACTCAGGTATTATTTATTTAGTTGAAATATATATATATATATATCTATTGTTGAAACATCTAATCGTAACTCAATTTTGTTTTTAAAAAGTTCTTGGGTATTCTTCTTGATAAATTATTAAATTACCGAGTCATTGACGCCAGTTCTATAATAACTTGGTTATTTACAGACGAAATGGAAAAAGAAGTTTCCAAGTGAGTGTAAATATGATAAATGAATCTCAAATGTAATTCTTTTTAAACTCGTTCTATAATATTCCTAGGTCATATATGTGGGAAATTATGAAGAATACTATTAATAAAGTTATATCACGAGTCAAGCAAGTTCAATACAAACTTGAAAGTTTGATGAATCCACCAGCAGATTCTGGGATCATTGATATCACGAGTGATTGTAATTTTCAATTTTATTTATAATGATGTTTTTTGATTATCACTTTATTAAATTTTTTGCTTTTTAGTGGATAAAAAGGTTAACACTGACGAATTGCGAAATATTGAAAATACGCTGAATAACGTTACTAGGGAACAAAAAGAAGTTTTGTTGACCCTGGTTAATTTATTTGTTGAGATGCTTAATAATAAATTGAAAGAATATAATGAACAAGGAGTTCAAGATCCCATGTCTAAGCTTTGGTTCTGGTGGGCATATGGATTTTTCAAAGAAATTGGACGAACTGTAAGTTTCTTTCTAATAATTCTTTGTTTTAAGATTAAAATACTAAATATTTTATTCTATTCATTTTTGTAAAAGTATCAACCACAAATATCGACATTTATAGTGACGTTGGAAACCATTGTTGTTGTTCCAAATATGGATCCAACTATTTCAAATATAATTGATATGATTAAAGCATTTGGACGTGTGAAAGATGCCACTATTGTTGAAGATTTGTCATAAAGATATAATAATTGGTAAGTTTACCCTTTTCTTTAATAAAGAGATCAAAATTCCTTTTTAATCTTTTTGTATATATATTTTTTTATTACACTAAATAAAATCAAATGAAATTAGCATCAGCTACATAAAAATTAATTCCTTTATAAATTAAGAAATAGAAAGCTCAATAACGAAATTAAAACTGATACAAGAAAATGATCTTATTAATACCTGAGTAAATATGCTAGTCAACTAAAATATAACTGGAAAAACGAATTATCAATCAATCGTTTTTTTTTATTTTGCTAATTTTTATGCCAACTTTCTACATCTTGTAAAAATTAGAAATTATTTTTCATGCTTAAATTAGTACAAATAATTTTCAAATTAAAGTTTTTGCTTTTAGAATAAATAATTGCCGAAATTCTAATGTATGATCATTGATATTTATACAACTAATTTGAAGTACATTTAACTAATGTTCAACGTTTTTTAATCTCGAAAGAAAATGGATTTGAATCATCTTTATTTGATAATAATTGATCTTTTTTCATTTTTCTTAAAGTCACGGATATTCTAAGACTACGAATAATCTTTTTATCTCCAATCTCATCAATTTCAGTCTCTTCAATTTCATGAGTCCAATTATATCTAGCTGGTCCATTCAGAGCAAGAACAGATCCTGGTCTAAGAGTAACCGGTATCATCTCATAAGCATCATGAACATCCTTAAACTTGTTCTCATAAAAAGAGTTATCAATGTCAACTTCAGATGAGGGCCTGAATCGCATGACACAAGATGATAATAAGGATATAACTACAATCCCATCTTCAAATCTATAATAAAAGAATTAATCCATTCAATTAATCCATATTAATTTAATAAAGATGATAAATGATTTATTTTTTACCTTGGTAAATCCACATGACCTGCAATACCTTCTCCAGGCCTGTATAAGTTGATAATCGACTGTATTTTTAATTGTAAATTTTGGAATAAAACAATTCATTTCCTTAATAATTGAAAGTAAATAAACACGCGCCTGATCAAATAAAGGATCTCTATGCTGAATTTCGTCAGGAAAAAATCCAGGTGTATTAGAAATAATTTCAATGACTCGATGAATGAATGATGGCAATGTACCAAAACACATTGCCTGATTTGTTTCCGGATTGTCGAAATAATTAGCTTCTATAATACCATTAATTAACTCACTTTGTTGCTCGTGAGTTAAAAGGTTTTCATAAAGGATTAATCCTATGATTGAAGGTAAGGTTATTAATTTAGGTTTTGGAGAAATGATTGTTGGTTCATTTTCTGTTAATGGACTCGAGGATGAAACTTCATAGTCTGAACTTTGTGGTTCGGACATTTCATTAGAAGAAGATAAATTGTTGCTTAACTCTTCTACTTTATCATCGGTATCTGAATAGTCACTAATACCAAAAAGTTCCTCGTTCGAAAGATCTTCATACATTTTGTTTTAAAAAGAATTCTTATGCCTGGAAAAAGTGCAAATTTTTGCTTGTTGCATCTATGTCGTACGACTGTAGTACAATACTAATAATGATTGGATGACATTGAAAATATCATATTTTTAAACAGATTTTTTTTTAAAAAAAATTTGAGAAAAAATTTGTCAAAAAAAAACAATGAATGGTGAATATACTTCTCAGTACCTTCAAAATAATGGAAATAGTCCCTTCACAGGAGCTGTTTCACAGCAAATGAATCTTAATTATGAAACGCAACAGCACCACTCTACTCTCCCTTGGATGGGTTCCGATCAGCAACTGGCTCTCAATCACTCTATGATTTCAGGAGCTACTGTCACACCACCAACGACTTTGAATGCTTCTAACGTTGTCACAACTCCATCCAAACCTCTTTATCATGCATCAAGCTCTGAAACAAATAATAATTTTGTACAAGCACCGGTTGTCGGTTCAAATGTCAGGAAACCGATTACCATTAAGCAGGAAAGTAACGCAATTACGAATGCAGACACGCCTGTTACCACAATTGGAGGATTAAATAACAATAGGTCTCCGGAATATGGTGATTATAAATTTACAATTTCAATGTTTTACCATTACATTTTATATATTCTTTGTTCCTCCCTTTTTTTTAAATCAATAATTATTTTTTTTCTCAAATCGTTAAATTCGTCATATTAGTCGACTATACCCAAAAATGTGTGCAAGTAGTATGTAAACTGATTGATTACACTTTAAGAAATAATCGATTTTTTTTTTGTTTCTAACAATTATTTGATTTCAGATACTTGAGATAAATTACGAATTGATTCGTGTATGTATTGATTATCAAAGTAATGGATTGGTCAATGAACCAGACCTTGTATTGTATGTAACTCTTGGACATTTATATTATATAATTCTTTATTAAATACGATTTAACTAAGACTTTTTCTAAAAAAAAAAAACAGGTACAAAGCTCGTCTTCAAGGCAATTTATCATATCTTGCAACCGTTGCAGACGAGTATAATGGAAACCCTCGTAATGTAATTAAATATAAAGTTATATGATCTAATCATTTAATGTCTATAAATTCATATGATTTTGGTGGTTTTATAGGAAATAAAGCCAAAGTTGATCCCTGATTTATCTTCTTTACCAATACCTCGTAGTAACTTTGGACAAAAGATAAATACCCTTTTTCAACGAGCTGTACAAATTTTCGCTCAAAATAAAAAATATCATAGAGCAAATCCTGCAAATACTTCCACCATTAACAACAATGTTTCTAGTATTAACAATATTTCAAGTACTTCATCTAGTCAAATGTTGGATGCAAGTTCGCCATCTTCACGTCAACTCAAAGTGAGCCCATCTCCAAATAGCATTATTGGAACCATGATGAATTCTCCACAATATCAACAATTATACCAAAAGCAACAACAACAACAACAACATCATCATCAACAACAGCAACAACAACAACAACAACAACAACATCATCAACAACAACAACAACAACAACAACAACAACATCATCAACAACAACAGCAACATCAACAACAACAACATCATCAGCAGCAGCAACTAATATCACCACCTCAACAACCACATACTCCGCAACAAACTCAACAACAACAACAAAAATCATCGCAACCTCAACAAACACAGACACAACTACTCCAACAACAAACAACACAACAGTTGCATCAACAGCAACAACAGAATCCTCAACAATCTTCAAATCGATTCACAAATTCAATGATACCAACTGTGACTATCGCTACAGCATATCAACAACAACACACCAATTCTCAACACCAGAACATGGTTGCTACAAGTAGTATGTCTGATTATTCAATAATTAATGCAACAAATTCAGAACAATCATATCAGGTGTCGTTACCGCCTTTGGGAAACATATCAATTGGAAATACGGGTGTCGGGAACGGAGGTAATGGAAATGCACAAGGATCAGGAATATTACCTTCTATTGCAGGTCTGGGAGATCAATACGGCATTCCAACAGCTCAACAACAACAGCAACTTCAACAATTACAAAACGTCGGATTTGCTGGTTTTGGAGGCACTGGTGCAGGAGGAATAAGTGGTACTGGATTTGGTCCAGCAAATAATTTTAGCATGATGCGATATCCAAGTTCCGGTGGAAATGGAATGGGAAATTCATTGGCTAGCACTGTATTAGGTGGTGGGAATAGTTTATCCAATAGTCTAGGAAATAACAATATTGGAATCAATGCTATTGGTAGTAATAGTTATGGAAGTAATACCATTGCAGGAAATACATTAGGTTTACCAAGTATGATGAATCATGATAATAGTATGGGATAATTATTTAAGAAGGATTCTTGTTTTTTAAAAAGAAAGATTTATCTAGAAGGAATCCAGGTAAGTCAAATAAAATATTTATTGCAATTCGCAAATTCAAAAGACTTTGTTAAAATGACGTAACTAGATTTAAATAAGTTATTTCAAAAAAAAAAATTTTTTTAATTTTCAAATATATTTTTGCAAACTTTTAATTTATTATTATTACATTTTACATTTATTGTAATAATTTCAAAAAAAATTTTTTTTAATAACGTTAATAGTTAAATACGAAAATAAATTCTTTAAAAATTAGAAATACAATTTACATAATATTTTATTTGCATTATATAGAGGTTGGAACCGGTTTAAACACTTTTTTAATTTGAGACCCGAATTTAAACCGAATTTATATAAACCGATTCAACTGGGCATTCGGTTGTAATAAAACCGAAAAACCGAATTGCGATTAATTTTATTATTGCAAATTCATAAAAATCTCACAAGAAATACACATAACCTTCGAAGGAAAGATTACACAATAAAAATAAAAATTTTGAAGGAATGATTCGTAAGGATCTAACAAAAAAAGTATAATTCTACATATTTGCACGAAAATAAATGGAAAAATCAAAAAAAAAAAAAAAGTCGCGAAAATTGGATCATCCAAATAATTAATTTAACGCATTTTATAAATACATAAAACAGGTTTAATTTGATCTCAACCGGTTTCATTAAATTCGAATTTTCGCAATAAACCGATTTTATTAAAACTGGTTTTCGAATTAGACCCGGTTTTATGTAGCAACCGAATTTAAATCGATTTACATATCAAAAATAAGAATCCTTCGAAAATAAGTATCTATCTTATTATGCATGGTCTTCAAAAATAAGTATCACTAAAAATAAGCACCTCCTATATTTTATTATTGTAATTTTATTATAAAGCAAAAATATATAAAATTATAAAATTTTATAAATAAATTCTAATTATTCATTATTATCAATAATTTTTTCATTGAATTTCTTCATAGATAACATTATCGTTATATTTTAATTCATCTAAAGCATTAGATATGCCACATTTTTTTAAAGAAACAGTAATAATATCATCATAAATGCTTTAATCTACCAAATCTATGATACAATTATCTACATAAGTGATTTATAAAGCTTAACTAAATCATTTAATGAAGAAATGAAATAATAGATCATTAGTCTATGATGATTCTAAATTAGAACCTCCAAAAGAAAGCCTCAAGAAAAAACAATATAAAAGCTAAGTATTAGAAAAAATGTACAGTAACACCTCTATAAATGCACCCCCTGGGGACCGAACATGAACGTGCATTTATGGAGGGTGTGCACTTATGGA